ACAATTCTCATAGCCAAATCCATAAATCGATATCACAAATTGATTTACAAAACAAACCATACAATCTTTCGGCGGCTCAACTCATCCACCAGCATACCTTTTGCAATTCATTTCCGAAAAATTATCCAAAAAATCATGAACCTATTGCACTTAAACTTTTCAATTTTATCAATTGAGTCTTAAACCTTTTCACATTTTGTCAATTGAGTCCATCCGACCAATTTTGGTCGGAAATCACTGACGTGGACGCCAACCGTTCTACACAGAGCGTCTGTCATTGATCTAGACAATTTTAATAGTATTTTAATATTATATTTTATAGTTGTTCTTTTCTTTTTCCTTTTTTTCTTTTTCTTTCTTCTTTTATTCTTCCCTTCTTCCTCCTCTAGACGGTCACTGGGCCTTCGCACTGGCTAAAGGCGAGGGCCAGCGAGGTTGAACTAGCCGGCTTTTGGCGAAGCTCACCCCTGCCGGCGACTGGCGAGGGCAAGGCTCGCCTTTGCCAAAGACGAAGGTAGAGGTGATCCATTCTCCCTAACATTACATGCTAATCCATATGCTATTCCCGGAAGTGGTGGACTTGCCGACCAACATGGAGGCGGCCAAATTGAAGAAGGAGCCAAATATCCAATCCGAGAAGCCAAAGACAAAGTGCACTCGGAACCAGAAGAATCGGCAACATCCTAAGAAACCAATAAACAACCCCGAGTCGAGAGCGCTGAGGACGTCGCTCGAATGGGTGGAGGAGAATGTCACGGTCTTGAGGTTTCCATGCGCCAAGGACCGTGACATGATCGAGAAAGAACGGGCTAGACATTCTAGAGCTTCTAGAACATTCATAGGGACGGGCGATACGATAATTGTGCCGTGTTATAGAGAATTCTGGGCATAAATGCTGATAATTGGTAGACGAGGAGATGCGATCTCTTCCTCTAGATCAAATGTCGATCAACGGATGTAACGAGTTGAGTCTTTGTATAAGTAGAAAAAAAGAGGTGTTCCCCCTCTCATTTGAAGCATCTAAATAATTGAAGCACTTTCCATTCTCTCTTAGAGCTTTTCTCTCTAAATTCTTTCTATGATTCGGGCAAGCAAGTGAGTGATCGATCGATCCATCAAGGTGTTCCAACGATCCAAGGAAGCTTGAGTCGCCACACTGATCTGATCCCAAACAAAATCGACCTGTGACAATTGATTATGCAATTGTCCATGCGACGATTGATGATGCTACTTTCGTGGAAATTGAATGATTCGAACAATATTTGCATAAATATGATCGCTTGGAATAATTAATTGACAATTTATACCTAAATATTTTCGTAAATGATTAAGATATTTTTTTTACTTTTTTTTAAGCGATACAAGAGATCATATTTCGAAAAATATTTTCTGCGCAACAAACGGAGCCTAAGCTTACACCTCAAGTTAGAGTTTGGAACCTTATTTATAATAATAATTTCTATTCTTTGCCAAGGGGAGGGGAGGTCTGATCCCCTAAAAACCCTCACCTTTAGGTCTAATTTTAATTATGCCCTGAACTTTTTCTATGCAAAAAAAAAACATCAACTTTCACTCTGGTCTTACATCTGTTAACGCGTCTAAAAATTGCTACTATTTTCTTCAAGATTATCAATATCAAGAGGCAGTTGTTGTTTTGTATGAAGGTGAGGGTGTTAATGAACCTCTAATTTTCCTCGATGTTGATAATTTTGAAAAAGCTAGTGGCGATTTTGGACACATGCGCAAATTTGGAACTTCGAGGTAGAAAAAAAACTATGAGACAAAATTTGAATTTGACCTAAAATTTGGATTTTTTTTTGAGGGAATTAGATGGGGGGAAAGGCTAAAGTAGATTTCTTGGCTATTTCGAGACCGTGTCGATCGCAGTTAATGCTGTGGTGAATCCGGATTTGCTAGAATGACGGTCTACTATCTGAGAATGATTTAAACAGAGTTTAGTTTCTCTGCTATTTTCACATGCTAATGCAAAGGATCATCTTGGTCTGCATCATGTCAATCTCATCTCCAATATGTATCCCCAGAAACATCCTCATCGGATATTTCGGAAACAAAAATGATTGATGCTGAGTCGACCTGGTTGGTTCATCTATGATTATAGAACGAAAAACTGAGTTCGAGTATCGTTTTGAGGATTTTGTTTAGACTGTATTACACTTATTCTGATGCCATTACATGCATGTCCTTATTAATCCCACAAAGGATGTCTTTTCTCGGAACCATTTTGATCTCTCTCCCCCTTATCTGGGCTAGACTCTTCGAAATCATATCTTCATTTGGAGGAAATAAATTCGAGTGACATGATGTGTGAATGATTCGATAAAAATGATAGCAGTTCGATGGGGTTATTACGTCTCGACTAATTGCCAAACCCCACGAAACTCGTGTGTGAATATGAGCTGTTTGGTCTCTGTGATCCTGCATTTACCAGGTACCCAATCTTGCTGTCCCAGCCAGTGGGTTTAAGGTCTTGTTAAGGGACGGCATCATTGCTTGCTTCCAGAGCATGCGAGCCTAGCTCGAGTTCACCCATATGATCTGAAGAGTGTACGTGAGGTTGGGGGGCTCACGGGCACCCAAAACGTACAAGTCTTTCCACACCAAACCCTTTTCTCCTTTTGTCCATATTGGCACTGGTCTAATGTTCTTGTAATTTGATTAAGTCAACAAAGGATATGCCTGAATCCAAGCCTGATTTTCCGGGCAAAAGAACTGACGTGGCTGCACATCATTAATTAGTCGGCTAATCTCATGGGGCCTTCCATGTTTTGTGGGTTATAGGCAATCTCGTGGGCATTTTTGAAGTTCAAACGTTTAAAAACGTCAAGGTCATGCTCCCGTGTGGAATGTCAGCAATCTATTCATAGGCTCTTTAGAGAAAAAGGACAATAGTATTGTGGTTCTCCAGCTTTGAACGTTCTTCTGCACACAATGTCACAACCCCACCTGCAAGTTACAGATTCGGACATCATTCATATTTTTATTGAGTTGAGTTTGAAATTGATTTGTGTTTGAAAATATGTTTCGAATTTCAATATGAAGAAAAAACTTTTTTTAATTCAAGTAAGTTTCTTAAAAGGAAGTTTTTCTCTTTTGGATTCAACTCTCTTTTATATAAAAAGTGGTATTTCTTGGTGAAGAGCATCTAAGAGGAATTCGTACTCATGAATTACATCATGAGTGTTTGAAGCCCTGAAAAATCTTATGTTAAGATTTTGTATAATTCTTCTTATTGTTTTGCGAGAAATTTTGAGAGTTAATGGATATAATTGAAAGCTAGGAAACACCAAGAATGCTTGTAATCTCCATTGTATCGCTTGATCTATAGTGAAATTTTGTGTCGCTCTTCTCGTAGAGATAGGTCACACCGATCGAATCACGTAAATCTGGTGTCCGATTTATTTTCTTGTTATATTTATTTTACTGTTCAATCGTTTGCTTTCGCAATATTTATGAGCGTAACCTAATTCCTAGAGCGTTTAACAGTGTACTCTATGTTAGCTTAGGCCAAATGAATCTCTTGCTCAATTTGCACTCGCTGAAATTCCCGTTGGCATTGTTTCGGAGAGATTTCTTATGCAAACCTCAACTTTGCATGCTTATGAAAGAGCAGGGAATCGGTCTCGGCCAGTGCTTGGTTTCCAAAACCGGGAACTGAACCAGTTCTTCTCGGAACTAAACTAACCGAGCAGCAGATTCCAGCCAGTTCACCTAATGAACCAGGCCCGATGCTCATTTCTATTTCTCTTAATTGGCTTCAAGGGAATAGACGATCATCTAGTTTAGATTTTTGAGTGGGGGGGGGGGGGGGGCAATGCAAAATTGATGGTTAAGTATCACGCGATATGAGAATTTGAGATTTATCCGTATATTCCGTATTTTATTGTTCAACATATCTCGTCAGATCGGATAATATGGGCTTGTGTAAAATATCCTTGTTTTTTTACATTCCATATATTTTTTTTTGTAAAATTACTGAATATTACGATGATGAACCTGTAGTATGCTATCTTTCAGCCAAAAAAAAAAAAAAAGACCTGTAGTATGCTCTCATAGATTGATAGATAGAAAGCAAAATATGAAACGACCCCGACTACCGTAGATATCACGATGAATTTTTGTAAGGTTAATACTTCAAAAAATCCCAAATTGATACACTTATGACAAATTTACCTCAAACTAATTTTTTGACCATAAAAAATCCAAAATTGGTACACCTATGATAAATTTACCTCAAACTAATTTTTTTACCATAAAAAACTCAAAACTGGTACGCCTGTGACAAATTTACCCTCCGTTAGTTTCCGTTAAATTTTACCGTCAAATTACTGAATTAGATAATACGTGATAGTTGACAGATATACCAGTTTTGGATTTTCAAATTTATCAATTTAAGGTTTTTCATGGTATTAATCTAATTTAACGGAGGGTAAATTTGTCCATCAATTTTAAATTTTTTGTTGTCAAAAAATTAATTTGGGGTAAAAGACACTTACTCTTTCTCTCTCCCTTTCCGATTATAAAGAATGTGCACTTTTACTCCTTAAAACTTCGATTTATGATCATCACAAGTGTCGATTTTCTGTGAAACATGACTACACGCGTGAAATGCACAGTTGATTTGAATAAGCAGAAATGATTGGGCGACGATTTTTAATTTATCGCGAGAATAATAACTTATTCAGGATAAAAAGAATTATAAATTATTATTGGATCCACTCACGCGAGAATTTGTAGCTCGTTATATGCTGTCGTGCTAGCAAAGCCTTTCGAGTAATGCCGGAAACGTAACTCGGGTTCAAAAAAATGAGAAAAAAAATGGGGAAAAGTCGAACTCCGCGGTCTCTTAGGCGAAAACTTTTCGAGAGAGGTCCCCGGTTAGCACGTAAAACACTGAGGTCCGGGGAAACGTACTTCAGGATTCCATGAAGCAACCGACGTCCTTCTCAGTTCTCAGTCTTTGTCGTGTTCGTCGTCTTCGTCTTCGTCTTCTTCTTCTTCTTCCTCCTCTTTGTCTCTACTCAGTCGACTTCTCTCTCCTCCTCCTCCTCACGCCCACCTCCCTCATCTAACTAAACTCTGACATGAAGCAACACCTCCAAGCAGTCGTTGCCGCAGCTGCGATCTTCGTCAGTGCCTACCTCTTCTTCGTCTTCCTCGTCTTCGCCCGCTGCCGGCGCATGCGGAACCGTGGCAGCGGCGAGAGCGCCTCCTTCGACCCCAAGCTCCGGATCTCCATGGACGAGCTCCGGAACGCCACCGACAACTTCCACCCCCTGCGGATCATCGGCAACGGCGGCTTCGGCCTCGTCTACAAGGGCTGCCTCGCGAACGGCCTCGCCGTTGCCATCAAGAAGCTCGAGCCCGACGCCTTCGAGGGGTTCCGCGAGTTCAGAGCCGACATGGAAACCTTAGGTCAGCTTCACCACCCGAACATCGTCAAAATCCTCGGCTACTGTATGTCGAATTCGGATAGGGTTTTGGTTTACGAGTTCATAGAGAGAGGGAGCCTCGACCAGTGGCTGCACGACACGACGTCGTTGTCGGAGAACGGCAACGTCTCGTGGTTGAATCACCCGGTCGAGAGGTCGCCCTTGTCCTGGGACACTAGAATGAAGATAATCAAGGGTGTGGCCAGTGGATTAGCGTTTATGCATGGATTGCCAACGCCGATCATTCACAGAGGCATCAAGGCGAGCGACGTGCTGTTGGACACCGATTTCGAGGCGCACATCGCTGATTTCGGGCTGGCGAGGAAGATCAGGGCCTCGCAATCCCACGTGTCCACGCAACCAGCAGGGGCGATGGGGTATATGCCGCCAGAGTATAAGGACGGATACAGAAGGGTGACCGCGAAGGCCGACGTGTATAGCTTCGGGGTTCTGATGTTCGAGATTGCGACGGGTCGGAGTCCCAGTTTACCGGTGGTGGATAGGGGAGAGGAGTTCGGGCTAACTGCTTGGGCACGGAATATGGTGGGTGAGAACCGGCAGATGGAGATGGTCGATCCCGCAGTTTCAAGGGATGGCCTGGTCGGAGCGAGGGTGAAGGAGTACCTCGACATTGCGTGTATGTGCACTTGCGTGCGCGCGAAGGACAGGCCAGGTATGAGCCGAGTTCTCGGGTTGTTGAAGTCTCCATTCGGATGAAGACGGTGTAATTGATCGAGGTATGGTTTCTTTTCCAAAGTAAAATTACCCAGAAAGAGAAGGATTCAAGGTTAAGCTTGTGAGTCGATAGTCCAGTTCCGGTGGCAAGTAGAGGGTACTCTGTTCGTTGCCTTGATGAGAAAACGTGAATAGCTTCTAAGAGTTGATTGACGTCTGAAAATGACCTGCGGATGCAGCTTCTGTAATTGTTAACAGGTGCTGCATCGACAGTATGATATCGTATCTGAATAGATTTCTTGGCTATTTCAAGACCTGTGTCGATCGCAGTTAATTGCTGTGGTGAACCCGGATTTGATGGAATGACGGTCTCCTAATTGAGAATGATTGAAACGGAGAGTTTAGCTTCTTTGATATCTTCACATGCTAGTGCAAAAAGATCATCTTGGACTGCATCATGTCAATCTCATCTCCAATATGTCCATTGCAGTAGTCATGAGGTGGCTGGATCCGTAAAAATGTACAAATTTCAACGTATTATTTTAATAGATTATTTAATAAAATGAGGCATTTCTCCTTAAGAAAAGTTTCTCATTTCCTATTATCTTTGTCGAGCTATTACTCGTATCCAATTATAAAATATGTTTGATCAGTGAAGTTTTAATCGGGAGAATGTCAATTTCGCTGTACCAAGAAACGAAGAATATTGATGCATTGAAAATGGAAATTTCATAATTTAATCAGCATTGATAGTGATAACCTCTGCAATTTTTGCAGTTTTGCAATATCTGGAGCATACGGCAAGTGCGTGGTGATACATCTCTTCCTTCACTTGGGGTACAAGTTTTTGTAAATTTATGAAACATATATACTTCTCCAATGTAAATACACCTTCTCTTTCCCTCTCTCCAATCCTAAAGGATGTTCGCTATTATGCCTTAAAATATGATTGTCTTGGGTGTTGATGTTTTGTAAAATGTGACTGCACGCGCTACATGCATGGTCGAGTTGATAAACAGAAATAATTGGGTGACAGCTTTTATTCTACCGTGAGAATATAACAAATAATTATAAATTATTATGAAGTCCACTCTTTTGAGAATTTGTGGCTCATAATATACTGGTATTTGATCAAAAGATTGTTATTCTAGCAAAGCCCGCAAGAGAAATGCTTATGCAATTTTAAGTGAAAACTGCATGTAAAAACCGAGGTCCGGAAACGTAATTCAGGATTCCATGAAGCAACCCACCTCAACGGAGTCTCTTCTCAATCTTCTTCTTCTTCCACTTCCTCTCTCTCTCTCTCTCTCTCTCTCTATACTTAGGGCCCGTTTGGCAACTTGCCAAATAGTAAAAATTTCTATTCTTTTATTCTCAGAATTAGTTTGGGAACAGAAATTCGTTTGTTAGATTTTTTGTGCCCGGGCACAATTTTGCAAAAAATTGTTCCCAGAATCAGTTTTGAAACTGAATTAAGAAGCAAAAAAAAGTAGCATCTTGATTCTGGAACAATTTTTTCATTTCTGATTCTTCTTGGTTTTCTTCTTTTTTTTGATTTGTTGTTGTTCTTTGGCCTGCCGGCCACTGGCGACTGGCCACAAGACAGGGCCGGCGAGGGCGGCTCGCTGCCGCAACGGCGAGGTCTTGCCCAACCAAGGCGAGGTCAACCTCGCCGTCGGTGGCGATGGCGGCAACCGGCCATGGCCAAGGAAGGGAAGGAAAAGAAAGAAAAAAATATTAAAAAATTCAAAATATTATTAATAAAATAAAATTTTGTATAGTTACCGAAAGCATTTCTGTTTTTTTTATATTCTAAGAATAAAAATTTTGATTAGTTACCAAATATCTTTAAAATGCTTAGAAATTATTTTCGAGCACGAAATAAAAAAAATTATTTTTAAGCAAAATCAGTTTTCGAACACAAATCACAGTCATACCTGTCCTTAGTCGACTTCTCTCTCCTCCTCCTCCTCCTCACACTTACCTCCCTCGTCTAACGAAACTCCCAAACTCTCTCTCTCTCTCTATCTCTGACATGAAGCTCAACCGCCAAGCAGTCGTTGCCGCGGCTGCGAGCTCCATCGACGCCTTCCTCTTCTTCTTCTTCCACGTCATCACCTGCAGCCGGTGCAAGCGGAACCGTGGCCGCTCCAACCCGGAGGAGCTCTCGTCCATCGCCGTCGACGAGAGCGCCTCCTTCAACCCCAAGCTCCGAATCTCCATGGAAGAGCTCCGCAACGTCACCGAGGACTTCCACCCCCTGCGGATCATCGGCAACGGCGGCTTCGGCCTCGTCTTCAAGGCCTGCCTCACCAACGGCCTCGCCGTTGCCATCAAGAAGCTTGAGGCCGATGCCTTCGAGGGGTTCCGCGAGTTCCGTCCCTAGATGGAAACATTAGGTAAGCTTCAGCACCCGAACATCGTCAGAATCCTCGGCTACTGTACGTCGAATTCGGATAGAGTTTTGGTCTACGAGTTCATTGAGAGAGGGAGCCTCGACCAGTGGCTGTACAATACAACGGAGAACGACGTCGTGTCGTGGTCGAAACCCTCAGTCGAGAGGTTGCCCTTGTCCTGGGACACTAGGATGAAGATAATCAAGGGTGTGGCCAGTGGATTAGCGTATATGCACGGATTGTGGACGCCGATCATTCACAGAGACATCAAGGCGAGCAATGTGCTATTGGACGCTGAATTCGAGGCGCACATCGCTGATTTTGGGCTGGCGAGGATGATCGAGGCCTCGCAATCCCACGTATCGACGCAATTCGCCGGGACCATGGGGTATATGCCACCGGAGTACAAGGAAGGGTTCACGGCCGCGACCGTGAAGGCCGATGTGTATAGCTTCGGTATTCTGATGCTCGAGATCGTGACGGGTCGGAGGCCCAATTTGCCGGTGATGGATGGGGGAAGGGAGGTCCGGCTGACTGTTTGGGCACAGAACATGGTGGCCGAGAATCGGCAGATGGAGATGGTCGATCCCGCCGTTTCCAGGGATGGCCTGGTCAAAGCCGGTGTGGAGGCGTGCTTCAACATTGCGTGTATGTGCACTAGTGAGCTTTCGAAGGAAAGGCCAGGTATGAGCCGAGTTCTCGAGTTGTTGAAGTCTACATTCGGATGAAAATGGCGGAAGTCATCGAAGGTATGGTTTCTGCCCCAAAGTTAAATTACCCAGAAAGAGAAGGAATCAAGGTTAAGCTTGTGAGCCAATAGTCTAGTTCTGGTGGCAACTAGAGGGTACTCTGTTCGTTGCTTTAATGGAAAATATGAATAGCTTTATAGAGTTAATTGAGGTCTGAAGCAGGTAATGACCTGCAGATGCAGCTTCTGTAATTGTTAATAGATACTAACATCGGCAATATGAAGTTGTCTCTAAATAGATTTCTTGGCTATTTCAAGACCGTGTCGATCGCAGTTAATTGCTGTGGTGAATCCGGATTTGCTGGAATGACCGTCTCCTATTTGAGAATGATTGAAACAGAGAGTTTAGTTCCTTTGCTATTTTCACATGCTAATGCAAAGGATCATCTTGGTCTGCATCATGTCAATCTCATCTCCAATATGTTTCCCCATAAACATCCTCATTGCATATTTCGGAAATAAAAACGATTGATGCTGAGTCGACCTGGTAGGTTCATCTATGATTATAGAACGGAAAACTGAGATTGAGTTTCCCTTTGAGGATTTCGCTTAGACTGTATTATACTTATTCTGATGCCATTACACGCATGTCCCTATTAATCCCACAAAGGATGTCTTTTCTCGAAACCATTTTGATCTCTCTCCCTCCTTTTCTGGGCTCGGCTCTGTTGAAGCAGCGCTGCAAAAATGTTTCCCTGCGAGGTAACTCCATGTCGACGGGATGCTTTCACATAGAGAATGGCGACCATCTCTTTGAAACCATGTCTTCATTCGGAGGAAATGAATTCGAGTGACATGATGCGTGAATGATTCGATAGAAGTAATGGCGGTGCGATGGGGTTGTTATATCTTGACTAATTGCCAAGCCCCATGAAGCTTGTGGATGAATATGAGCTGTTTGGTCTCTGTGATCCTGCATTTACCAGGTACCAATCTTGCCGTCCCAGTCCAGCCAGTGGGTTTAAGGTCTTCTTAAGGGATGGCATCATTGCTTGCTTCCAGAGCATGTGAGCCTAGCTCAAGTGCACCCAAAACGTGCAAGTCTTTCGATACCAAACCCTTTTGCCCATGTTTCATTAAGTCAACAAAAGATATGCCTGAATCCAAACCTGATTTTCTGAGCAAAATACGAGGCTGCAGATCAACACAAAGGCCTTCCTTGTTTTGTGGGTTTGGTGATCTCATGGGCCTCCTTGAAGTTTAAACATTCACAGAAGGCCAAGGTCTTGCCCGCGCATGGCATATGAGCACATCTATTCCTGGCCACTTGAAAGAAAAGGACACCCGATTATGGTACCCCAGCTTGGGGCCCAAAGCTGCACGTTCCTCTACACAGTTTTCCGCAACTCTGACCGACCAAGTCATAAACACTGACATCGCCTGTATTGATTTTTAGGTAAGTTGGCAAACGGATAGTGTCCACATTCGTGAACATAACCTAGCTCCAAATGTGTTTAATAGCATGTTTTATTTTAAGTTAGGCCGAACCAAGCACCTACTCGATTGGGATCCACCGAAATTTCGGCTGGCGATGTTTGACGGAGATAGATTTCTTGGGCAAAACCTTAACTTCGCATGCTTTTGGTCGTAAACACATCTTTCCCCCCGGGCATCGTTCGCATCTCAAACGAAGAAAAAGAGCCTAATGACGGGTTAAATCACAGCAGACGAATTTGCGAAATCGCCCTTTGATATTATCCACGAACTAAAGCAAGGACAGCAAAACGAGAGGAACGTGGTAAGCACGGGAACCGGAAAGGGAAAGGTGCAAAGTAAAGTTGAGAAAACAAAAACAAAGAAGGCATTAGCTTCTCTAGCCGACGACATTTGATGAAAAGAGGTCCCGAGATGCGAAATCTGGAGCCACCAATTAAGGAAGAAGTAGATAAGACAGAGACCATTCAACCAGAAGTGGCAGGTATTGACTAAATGACTATGCAGTTGTCCTTGCGACGACCGACCACCCTAAGCTTGCGCCCCATGCCTTTCAAGAGTTTTAGGGTGAGTTTATTTTGGTGAAATTATTTTTCGGAAAAGTGTTTTTTGAACTTTCATTGATTTGGTCATTCGAAAATGATTTTGTCAATCAAAAACACTTTCCGATCAATAAAATCATTCATGTATAAATTTAAGAAAGTCAACTCCCTTATTTAAGAAGGTGAAAATACTTTCCGGAATTGATTATCTTAAATTTGTTAATTTTTTAATTTTTTTTTTTCCTTCTTCCTCCCTCCGCTGGTCGTCGGCCTTGGCGGCGGCTGGCCACAAGGAAAACTAACCGTTTTCCTGAAAAATGCTTTATAGAAAATTAGTTTCCTTTATCATTGAGTTTTTCGTGAAACAAACACGCCCTTAAATCCAAATGCTACTGTAACAATAATTTCTCATCTTTGCCATAAGGGGGGAAAAGGGGGGAAGTATCGGAACAAGTCGGCCTCAACTTTTCATCAACTACCCATTCCATCTTACCTAATCTCATAATTAACATTTCCGACCATGTTGAATTCTGAGGTTTTGAGCATGTGATTTCTAATGACGAAATGTGATTTTTTCAAAGGCGGGGTGCGTACGACTGTGTCACAAAAGAATTGCGAGATGGTTAGTGTTACGTTCACGATAAATAAAGAATAGAGGAACAAAAAGAAAGAGGGTAAAGTCTTTCGAGTATCGTAACGCACGCACAACAGGTGGTAAACGCAATGACATGATAACGTGTGAGCGGTGTAGTTACGTGATATGACGCTTAGAGGACTTTCTCTTTTATTATCAATTATGGTATGCTAAGTGAACCTGCAAACAAGAAAATGAAACTAAGCCGCTTTTTACGAGGCGCGTCCGTTTCGCGAAGAATAAATAATTTAAAATAATTACTTATAAAAAGAAACGAATGCAAAAAAAAAAAAATCATTGTCCGCGAGAACTTTCAAACTTATATTATTATCGATAATGAAATATTTTTTTAATAATTAATTATTTCAAGCGAGATAATCGATCGTTTTAAATAAATTTTTAAAATTATTTATTTTTTACGAAATAAAATGAGGAGTAAGTGGGCACAAGGCATTGAGTGACGAGCGACGGTTTGTTTTTTTCATATATAAATTCAATTAACACAGTGCAAAGACCTTTCTTCAAACCTCTATTTATTGTGATAATGCGACGCCCACAGGATTTGGCTTTTTGGCAGGCCTTTTGAGGTGTTAGAATATTAAATGATAATGATCACTAAATTTAGCATGTGCGAGAATCTTGCTTTGATATTTTTTTTTTTTTCTGTCGTACTCTAATTCTCAACTCATATTTAAATTTTTTGCCCTGCAAAGATAGGGCGTGGAAGTCAAAACTCAAAACTCATATCTGAAACTACATGTTCCCACCCCTAGCTCTCATGAGAAGGTGAGGATTCGAACTCCTCACCTCTCCCTTTTCAAGTAAGAAGGATGGCCACTGAGGCAAACCCAAGTTGTTAATCTTGCTTCGATTTGAAATGCATAAATTTCCAGCTTTTGCAAGAATAGTTTGTTTCATTCTTTCAAACGCCTGACTAATCTCAACAATCTAATAATTCCATCCATACGAGGTGACTATTGATCTGCACGATTTGTGAAATAATTCCATCCATACGAGGTGACTATTGATCTGCACGATTCGTGAGTTTTATACGGGCGAGTAGATCCTCAATAAATCAATTCCGAGCCTAAAATCAAGAACCAATGTTATTCTTCGTAATGATTCAAATCTTAATGAGTGCAATTTTTTTTTTTACTTCATAGTAGAATTGACGGTTTCAGTCTTGGAACCAAGAACCGATATGGTCTGGACCGGTTCTTGATTTCCAAACTAGTTCTACCGAACTAACAAGGCTAGTTTCGATTGTTTCATTGGTTAAACCGGACCCGATGATTGACCCTATTTTTCTTAATAACTTGAAGAGAATGCACAAGCTTCTAATTTAGATTTTTGGGTGACCGCAAACAATGCCGAATTGGCATATAAATATGAGACAATATGAGAATTTGAAATTTAGGGAAAAAACCACCAAAAACCCCAAACTTTGCCATCTGTGACACATTTACCCCAAACTTGTTTTTGTGACACAAAACCCGACTTTCTTTTTGTGACACATTTACCCCAATGTATTTAGTCCATGGGCATTTTTGTCTTTTTGCTTTTTCTTTTTTTTTTTTTTTTTTTCCTTCCGTGAGGGTGGGCCTCGCCGGCGTCAGCGAGGGCGCCCATCGCCGGATCCGGCGAGGGGGCCCTCGCCGCGTCGAGCGAGGCGGCCCTCGCCCGGATCCGGCGAGGCGGCCCTCGCCGGCGTCGGCGAGGTTCGCCTCGCCTGGCGAGCGAGGCGGCCTCGCCCGGCTCGAGCGAGGTCGACCCTCGCCGGCGTCGGGCGAGGGTCGACCTCGCCGAGCTCTGGGCGAGGCCGTCCTCGCTCGCCCGAGCGAGGGCGACCCTCGCCGGCGTCGGCGAGGTCCACCCTCGCCGGCGTCGGCGAGGTCCACCTCGCACTGGGCGGCGAGGCGGCCTCGCCCGTCTGTCGAGGTCGACCCTCGCCGGCGTCGGGCGAGGTCGCCCTCGCTGGGCGAGCGAGGGCGGCCTCGCCCGATCCGGCGAGGTCGACCTCGCCGGGCGAGCGAGGGTCGACCTCGCGAGCCTCGGGCGAGGGCCACCCTCGCTCGCCCGGGCGAGGGCGACCCTCGCCGGCGTCAGCGAGGGTCGCCCTCGCTCGCCCAGGCGAGTGGCGGACCTCGCCGACAGCCGGCGAGGGTCGCCCTCGCCCGGGCAAGCGGCGGCCCTCGCCCGGGCGAGGTCGACCTTCGCCGCAGCGGCGAGGGTCGACCTCGCTGAGTCGGGCGAGGGCGAACCTCGCCGACGCCGGCGAGGGCCGCCCTCGCCGGATACGCGAGGGCCGCCCTCGCTCGACCGGCGAGGCCCCCTCGCCGGATCAGCGAGGTCCCCTGCCAGGAAAGGAAAAAAAAGAAAAAGAAAAGCAAAAAGACGAAATGCCATGGACTAAATACATTGGGTAAATATTATTCACAAAAGAAAGTCGAGGAGTTTTGTATCAAAAAAGTTTGGGATAAATGCCACATATCTATGAAAGTTTGGGTTTTTGTTTTTCCGAAATTTATCTGTATATATCGTATTTGATTGTTCAAAATATCTTGGTATATAAATATCAGTCCGTCGATCTCCTCGTTACTGCCCACCCTCTACTTTTATTTTTTCCTCTCTATCTAATTTCGATTTCATATTTCATATGCCACCCAAAATCAAGCGAAAGTAATTTTATCCGATTTATATCCGAGCTTATCCGAACGTAATCCCGCCCAATGACCGCTCCGAACGCGAAATAGAAACTAGTTGGGAATCCGTCAAGACATCACATCCCGCGTGCCAAAAGAAAGGCATCGTTGTCTTTTTGTCAGATGGGGAAAAAGAAAATACGGTGGGATAAGATTCTCTATGTGGAGGAGGCTCATATGTCCCAAGTCCCAATCATCGTCATCATGAGAAAGAAAAAAAAAATGGTGCGAGATCACGTTTCTGTTGTCCGGTTCACATGGCGTTTTGAAGTTTCAACTCCACGTGCCCTCCAAAAAAGTCTTGAGCGCCCTCATAGTCAATGCTCGTACCGATGATCGCCATTAAAAATTTGAACAAGTTACCTCCGTTTCCCACGCAGCTCCATCATCGAATAAGGTTCGACCTCACGCAATTATTTTTGCGCAAAGTCAATTTATTTGTCCTATAAAGAAGGACCCTTTTTGGGTTCAGCTCACCTCGTCCGAGAACCTTAGACCAGACCCAGATCACACCATGGCTTCCCGTTTCGGTTCTTTCGTTTTGATTTCTTGTCTCGTCATAGCTGCGTCGCATGTTCAAGTTTCGAGCTCTGTTCACATCGTGAAGGGGCTCTCGTGGTCCTACTACGAGAAGAGCTGCCCCAGTGTCGAGTCCGTCATCAGGAAACATCTCAAGAAGGTGTTCGAGGAGGACATCGGCCAAGCTGCTGGGCTACTTCGTGTGCACTTCCACGACTGCTTTGTTAAGGTAGGTTCCCGAAGAGCTCTGTCACAGTCTGCTTTCGCTCGACCGGGGCAAAGAGATTTGGGATTCTCTTGGAAGCTGTACCTTAATTTTCTCGTCACATGTCCTTGTGCGTGGTGTGTAAGCTGATGATTAAACATTTACACGCCTGTTTTGGCAAGATCTGTGATCATCTTCTTCCTCAGCAAAATAGACGAGAATAAGAAAAGAGAGGGGCCAAAAAAAAAGGAAAAATTCTTCTCGAAGCTGGTGGCCTAGGTTAGCAGCTGCAAGAAGTGGACTTCTTTTTCTTGACATTGCTATTTTTCCAGAATTCTGGGTAGATTATGAAGTCATATGGGTGCCTAAAGCCATCGTGACTCGTCCTTTAGCATACAAATCTTACTGTCTTGCTAGTAGACACTTGTTGAAGTTTTGGAGGATGTCTTTTGAGCGTTTGAGATAGTTGGGTCCTGATCTTTACTGCTTTATATGCTAAAATATACAAGCTTATAGAACTCCCATGTTCAGGTTTTAGAAAGAACTACATAATGTCTGATAAATTGTCTTCATAAGATGATTGCACGAGCAGCCCAGTTAAGCCTGGATTGCGTGTGGTGAAGATTTTCAGTTTAGAAGTTAAGATGGGTCTCAGTCATCAGGGTTTCTTTTACAATTGAATCTTGATCACTTACATTCAAAGAAATGATAAAACAAGGACTAACGAAAGGCCAATAAAATAGTCGTAACCTAAAGAAAAAGTAGAGAGGTTCCTAAAATTTGTTGTCTGAGCGGATAATAACAACACTTGTTCTTTCTCGTCTCCAAGTATGCTAGGGTATTTCGGTTGGTATTTTCCTGTTATTCGAATTCACTTAATTTTGAGATCTGATGAGTGATGCAGGGATGCGATGGTTCGGTGCTGCTGGTTGGAACAGCGAGCGAACCGAGCGAGCAGGATGCTCCACCGAACCAGAGCTTGAGACGGACAGCATTCAAGATCATCAATGACCTCCGGGAGCTTGTGGACAAGAAGTGTGGTCGAGTAGTCTCTTGTGCCGACATCGCCGCCATTGCCGCTCGTGATTCTGTTTTCCTGGTAAACCCCCTTCAGCCATCATTCCATCATCACTAGAGAGTAACGCACCAAAACAGAGTTTTGATTTTGATACTTGCCAGACACAAACCATTTTAAGCATCCTTGAGCTCATACTTTTGGAAATTAGATAGAAATACAGATTCTCGCAGAACATGCTCATCCCTATAAATCGTTCTAATTTGCAGCTTTGAATGATGCTTTTGCATTTGGGGGTGGGAAGACAGTTATGATCATAAGCTTTCAAAATAGAGCTACAGCAGAATACAGTATTGGTCACTTAGCTAGCTTCCTAGATAATTGTAATAGTTCTTATGTTCTTGCAAGTTGATAAATGCAGAGAGGACCCGATTGGATTTCTTTTTTGTGATCAATTGGATTATCAAACTAATCAAACATATTAAACATAAGAACTCCCCAATAATCTGCTATTTTTGGAAATTGAGTTGATGTGTAAAATACCCGAAACCTGGCGGGATGTGGACCTACGCAACATGGTATCGGAACTTTAATCTCATCATGTGGCCATGTGACGACAATAGTTGTTTAACCACTCTTGATTACGCTCAGGCTTGATTATACTCATTAGTTGTGACAGTAATTATACTTTATTGGTCTCTCAATGGTCACGTTTGATGATGCTTGATTAGAGGAATGATAAATCACGAGAAAGCGCAGTTGCTGATGTAACCAATCTAGGTTAAACTAGATTTTGATTCATGTACTTTACTGTTGCTGTTCTGAATTTCTTGTGAGATGTAGCAGATGCACATGTAAGTCAGTAGCATCATTTTGGAAACTCAAGACAATTAACCTTGTTATTTTAAGCCAAAAAATGCAGTCTACGGCAAATTTCAATGGTCAAAAACTCTGACATCGTAGTTGTTATACTTATATCTGATTTTTAACGGGTAGTTATCTCCTTTTTTTTAGGATCCCAACCACCCTAGATTTTTATTCTAAATTTTTGGATCATGTTTATGAATAAAATACTGCAACTTGACGTGTTTTTCGACTCTTTCAACATGGTTGTGAAAGCATGTGCTCACAAAGTTCTTGGAAATTGCAGATGAAATGAAATCATAGGTAGACAATTCTGTTTAATGATCATCTAATCCCAACTAGCTTCTAGTTTATGACAGTTGACTTGCAAATCATCACTTCCACACGAAGAAGACATCAGAGTTCTCTGTTGGCTTCATTTCCTGTCCATCATCGAAGTTTTCTCGATTATGATTACTATTGCCTATCATATCTATGAGCATCAACAGATGTTTTCCAAGCTCTGGATTCTAATTCTGTTATTCTCGTTGTCGTGTGCAGTCGGGTGGACCCGAGTATGACGTGCCGTTGGGAAGGCGGGATTCACTCACGTTTGCAAGTGAAAGTGTGGTCTTGGAGAATTTACCTGCACCAACTGAGAATGCCAGCGAAATTGTCGCGGCCCTGGCCAAGAAACACTTCGATGCCACTGACGTAGTGGCCCTCTCCGGAGGCCACACCATTGGGCTTGCACACTGCACCGCCTTTGAGAACCGGCTCTACCCGACTCAAGACCCCACCATGGAGAAGACCTTTGCCCATGATCTCAAGGGTGTGTGCCCCACCACAAACTCCACCAACACCACGGTCTTGGACATCCGATCGCCCAACCGATTCGACAACAAGTACTTTGTCAATTTGGTGAACCGCCAAGGCCTGTTCACCTCGGACCAAGATTTGTACGGGTACCCCACGACGAGGGACATCGTTACTAGCTTTGCTGAGGACCAGGAATTGTTCTTTGAGAAGTTCGTCCTCGCTATGACGAAGATGGGGCAACTCAGCGTGTTGACGGGGACGAAAGGAGAAATCCGAGCCAACTGCTCGGTCAAGAATTCTGAGAACCCAGATCTCGTGTCCGTGGTGGAAGAGGACCTGGAGAGCTATGCCGAATTGAAATGATGTGACCCTTTCAAGTGTGTGTATCAGCACGAGCTTTGTCTTTGCTCGGATCTGCAACTTTTGCTTGCTTGTTTATAGACTGTGACAGTGCCTAATAAATTGCATCAGCTGTTTATGATTATGTCAAGAATATGTATTCAGCAGAAGCTCAAAATTTCTGTCATTTGGCAAAATGTTGCCCGTGAGCCTCCTGCTTGGGAATTTGGATTGGTAGAAGTAATGTACTGATCATTCAAAGGCTTGACACGTTTGTTTGCACGAACCGCACCGATTGGCACTGGTCTCGATTACTTTGATTAGTCAAGAGCTTTCAGATTTCAAATGCGACCAGGTTCAAATGGCTCCATTCCAAGCGAGACATGAAAATCTGGCGCCATTGCATCCTGCAGTACTCAGCAGTTGCAAGCCATTTCCATCTCATGTAATATTTAAATGACGTCTTAATTTGGCGATTTAAATTTTTAGAACGATTAACAACAGTAGTCTTACAAATTTCACATGGTATAAGAGTAAAAGGTCCTGAATTCAAATCTTTCTAAATTGCCTATTTAATTCCTCTTATATATTTTCGCGCTTTAGTGACAGGAGCGGAGGAAGATGAGAATATTTAATATTAAATCACACATCTGTTTAATATTTTAAACTTTTAAAATAATTGAGAATGGTCCCATGAAACTTACACTATCTAGTCATCAATTAGTTTATTTTATCAACAGTCTTTTGATGATTATTGACATTTACTGAAATTTGCCGTCACGGAAGAAAACATCCGTATTTTGTGGGCACGGAAAAAAGAGTTTGCATTGCATCGGACATCAAAGAAAATTTATGGTCCTCTAGCCAGTTACTCTCACAATCTGATTTCACATGAAAGAGAAGTCAGTTTCATGCATAATGGAGAGAATAGCAGTTCCATTCATGTGGATGAAAATTTGTCATGAACCAAACAGATCGAGTTTCGTTGTGTTTTGTGGGGTTCCGGACCTTTTCATCATGTAGTTCAAGCATTGTGTTATCTTCATTGAATCATGGTTTGAGACCGAGAAATAAGTATTTCGATTGATGAAACGTTCCTGAATCACATGCAAAATCAAGATCAAATTTGCTGTCCACAAACTCCTGAACAGAATGGTATTGCTGAAAAGAAGTAGAGAAAATCTCTTTGAACTGGGCTTATCCAGAGTGGCTTTGGTCCGAAGCATTTGCAATCGCGACATCCGTTAATCGAACGCATGCCTTCTAGTGTTCTTCATGGGGTCAATCTTAATTTTCATGGTCGCAACCAACAGCATGATATGCAACTGAGTTTCGATTTCATAAACGTTCCTTAAATGGTTTACAAAATCCACTTACAAGCAGCTAGTATAGAACAATACTATGGCAAGAAAAGAATCTCATCAGAGTACCTAGTAAGGCATTCTAATCCTCAACGGCAAACCGTCCCAAATGTTTCCTTTGATTGTTCAAACTTCTAAATTCTCTATTCGAAGCAGACCTACTGACCTGATTCAACCTGTACATGCCATCTTTCTCTCTTCTGTAATCTGCGATGTGTGGTTTCAGTACTGAGGATGATCTCTGTTTTCACCAGCGCCGGGGCTCATGCATATTTCTGGAGACAACTTCTTGAAAGATTGTATGACGGGGCCTGGAGATAACAATACAGGTGGGGCGCTTTGCTTGGGTCGGGCGTCCTTTAGCCCGGATGAGCAGTTACTCGTGCTGCTCCCGGGTTCTGGCTTTTGGTTATAAGTTTGTACCTGTTGCTCCTGTATTTATTTCGATCATGCGTGTTCAAGATAGAACATTCAAGTTGCAATTTCATTACAATGAAAGTTAAGATTTTGTCACTGCAGATGTATACTTAGGTGTAGCATTCGAAGCCGGATGAAGCGATAAAAGGAATGACTTCAAGGAAGTTCACAATTTTGAAGTATGGAAAGCGAGATACGAAGTTCGTGTAACTACTTAAGCGAGACAAAAGTACATTAAAATGCGTAATGCGCATGTTTTTCCCTCTGGAAGAATCGAATGAATGGATGCAAATTAAGTGAAGAACCTCACCTCTTTGGTTGATTCGCCATTCCCAGTTTGATTCTCGGTGAGAGCGTCTTTCCTCCGCCGATCGCTCTGTGATCGAGCCCGTCTTTTAGCCTTCCGGCGCCTTAAAAAAAAAAAAGCGAGACAATAAATTAATTAAAGAGTACCATGGGAAAATAATTATGAGAACAAAAGGAAGTAACTGCTTGAAAGGTTCCGCCACAAGGCAGAAACGATTGTAATTGTACCACTGGAAGAAAGTCAACATACATTTTCTGTTCGTTGTTCTTAATAAATTCATCCTTCTCCTGGTAGATTATAGGAAGACCAGAAAGGTCGCACGCTAACGGGCTTGTGTAGAAGAACTGCGAGAGAATGGCATTGCGCAGAATAAAGGTCAGTAAGTAGACTCAAACATCAGAATATGAACTTTTTCCATTTTTGGGAGCATGAAACCATAAACTACAAAAATGTCACAAAAGAATGACACAGTCCCATCATATTTTTGGCAAATGCAAAAACCTAGTCTTACTGGCTAATACTTACTTCATGTTGCAAGGCTAACGATGCGCTGCCACGAGATGCAGGGTCCAAAGCGAGAAGAGAACTAAGAAGACCGACAGAGGAATCCGGGAATTCCCTGAAGATCTCTACAAGATTCGACTTGTAAAACTGTCTTGGTCTGAAGGTCGTGGGTAGCTTCAGCTTCCTCCAGTAATCCTCTGGTGGCGTGCCACAGAGTTTGAAAATCTTGTGGAGTTGCTCTACCTCATTCCGGCCAGGCATGATTGGGTGTCCTGCAAACATCTCAGCCAGGAGGCATCCGGCACTCCAAAGATCAATACCAACTCCATAATTGGTTGCACCTAACAGTAGTTCAGGAGCTCTATACCAAAGGGTCACCACCCGGTTCGTTAGAGGAAGCCTATCTCGAGGTCTGTAATAATTTGCAAGCCCAAAATCTGCAATCTTTAGCATGCCTGTTTTGTCTATCAGTAGGTTCGACCCCTTTATGTCGCGGTGCAGAATTCCTTTGTCATGGCAGTGTTGCAGCCCCGAAAGAAGCTGATGCATATAGCACTTGACCTGCATAAGTCAATACTTTCAGAGCCACGTAAGTGCTTAGAATCAAACTCAGCTTAAGGTACTTTCTTATGGAATTTACACGAAACTACAAACACTACATTTGTCTACTCCACAATCGGCCTCAGTTTAGGTCACTAGTATTTGCCGATGAGTTTCTCGCAAGAAATTTGTTAGAAGTTGATGAAAATGTTATGAGGCTCTCTCGTAGATTCATTCAATGTGCAGAGTTGTACACGTACCTGTGGTTCAGTTAGTCGTCCCTCTGGACGAGTAATGATCCTCTGCAAGTCCGACTGCATGAAATCAAAGACTAGATAAAGGCTGAACTGCATTCTCGATGTTGCCAGCCCTTCGAGCTTTACTATATTGGGATGGTCCAACTCTCTCAGGATCATAATTTCCCGCGCCATGAATTTTATGCTCTCTGGTTCTGATGTGTTGAACCGAACCTTCTTCAGGGCAACGAGTTTTCCAGTGTCTCTGTCCCATGCTTTGTAGACATTACTGTAAGTCCCCTGGCCTACCTGGAATATCCAAAATCGCATTCTGAATGTCTTTTCCGACGAAACTTTCAATCCTGATGAATCGAATGATAGTGAATCTGCAAACTACTAAGATATTCACATCTTACATTTTTAACCATATCAAGAGCCCATCGACATTAGAGCTCTGAGTCCCGTATTTCCTCTAATTACTTAATTTCAACAGCTTGGGCATCAAAGAATAGGAGAACTCCACTCATTGAGGAGAGATTGTCTAGAATTTTTATTCGAACAGATCAAGCCTCAAGGTTCAAACCGATTATACGAATCATCGTAAACTCCAGTCAAACAGACATTGAACTCATGCTTTCGACAGTGCACATGTTAAGACTAGCAAAAGCTCCACAAGTCTTATTGTTGTCGGCGCCAGATGGTAGTTTGAGCCAGCTTTACATCGAAGAAGAACGAATAATTAAAGAAGTTTGAATTACCTTATCGATCTTGTCGTAGGAGTCGGCGCTCTTTGGGACCAAACCTCTCAACACATGCTTGGGAACATTAGCGATGAGCCATTTGGGCCAACCATCCACAAGCTCAACTCGATCATCTCCTGACCCTTCACCCTTCCTCCTCAAAGCACCATCCTTCTCCAACTTACCTCCGGTCCCACCGCTCCCACTCCCACTCCCAAACTTCACATCTCCGCTGCCGCTGCCGCCCCTGCCGCCGCCACGGCCATCGCTCCCACTGCTGCCGACGCCACCCGATAAGCGCCCGCTGTGGTTGTTTCTCGACTCGGGCCTGCGCGGCCCGCCCTGGCTCTCCTGTGCATATCTCTGGCTGGTTGACCTCCGGTGGTTCGCGTTCCCTCCGCCACTTGGGACGTACCCATTTTGCTGCTTCAACTTCTCCAGGCCTTTGGGTGGCAAGTTCTCGGATGGCCTGGTCTGAACACAACCCATCACTTGTCTCTGTCTGGTGACCTGTTTATGGATTATTTTTGCTGGGTTTTCTCGTGATATAAACGAGAGCAAAGGGTGTTGCGATGAAGAGGAGGATGCAGGAGACGAACGAGAAGAGGACATATGGTGGAGTTTGAGAGAGACGGAGAGAGAGTCAGTGAGGAGGTTGTAGAATTCAATCTGCAGAGGCCGTCCTCGGCCTGCAATTCTTGGAATATGCAGGTGACTGTAGAGAACGGAAGGTGCCACGGACTACGTACTCCATTATTCTAATTCCGTTTCATGTCTTGCTTCTACGTTCCACGTTTCTTCTCCCCTTTGTAATCCACGATGAAATGTTGTGATCTTCTTCCTTTGCCAATTGCCAGTTTTTCTCACGCTTTGAGTTCAATATGTGACTGAAATCGGTAGTTGCAACTGAAACGGTAATGATTGTGAGCTTAGTTAGAGTAAAAGTGATTTCTATCGCAGATAAATGATCTTTTATTACCAACTTAGGCGTGCCCGTAATCACAATTAATGGACGCTGACCGTTCTTTCGTCCGACGGTAAAGCGATCGAGGAGTGGGATTGACTCGTAAACCCCCCCCATCATCACCTCTGCCCTCCACCACCACACATCGTCACTAATCTCCTCTGCCATCATTGCATCGGCAACCGGTGCATGTCGACAAAGCTAACTGTGGAAGCACCAATCAGGTGATTGGTCCAGTGATCCAGGACTTAGTTTGCAAGCCGAAGATCACGGGTTCATATCCCCGGTCTGTTTTCAGTCCCGGGAAACCTTTGTTAGTCTGTAAGGGCGAACCTAGGCTTAGGAGTATTGCTAGCTCAGGACTTCTCAACCCCCCACCTGGTGGGGCTGCAATTACGGACTTGGACAATTGGTGCATCGTTAGTGCCTTATACCAAACGTTTCGGTGACGAGTGAGGTCAATCCCAACTTGTTTAATTTCTTTTCTATGGGAAAAAAAAAACATAATGTTGGGGATGAATGATAGTAAGATAATCGAAGAATCCGGGCAGTGGTACTTAGAACTATGGTAGGTGATTAAGAATATGAGTTCAAGTAACAAAGGGAATGTGGCCCAAAAGATTAGAAAGTGGACGACTTCAACTCTCAAGTTCTACGCTTTTGGGGGAGAAAATCTTGTGGATGCAAAGAAAATAATGACCTCTATATGTAGCTTACCTTAAGGTTCACTCAAACACACCCTCATGAAATGGTAATTATGATCTCCATCCACTCCCCTGCCTTCCCTCTTACGGCCCCATAGATAATCTTTGCTCTCTTACTCACCTTTCTTTAACCCTATTTCCATAATGACATGAAATTCCTTCTTGAATAAATCTCGGGTCCATAAAATGTCCCGAATCAATGAACGGCGCGAGCTAAATTCCGAGCGGGTGAAACCAAACACGAATCCGACTGTGCTTGATCGTAGGAAGATCAAACTTGAATTGTGCATGCAATTGGCGTATGCAAAACGGTTTCTTATTTACACAGCCAACTTTGTTCGCAATTTTCTCTTTGGTTTAACCTTGCAAATTTATCTTCAAAAAAAAAAAACCTTGCAAATTTAAGAAAAAATTAATCCGCAAGGCAATATTATGAAGTTCTATTTGTGACGTCTCTTGAGGTAGAAGTGAAGCATGTGTGCATGATGCCTCCACAAGAATGTTCACACCGTTTACACAAAGTACTAGCAAATCAAACCAAAAATTATTTTTCGCGTATAATGACTAGCAATGCGTATATGATGATTAATGTCATAAAGAGAAGATAGCTACGCGGGAAAAGTGCCAAAAAAGTCCTCAACCTTTTGCATTTGTGTCAATTTAGTTCTAAACCTTTTTTTTATGCCAATTCAGTCCTAAACCTTTTCCATTGATGCCAATTTAGTCCTAAACATTTTTTTAATGCCAATTTAGTCATAAATATTTTGTATTGATGCCAATTCGGTCTTAAACCTTTTTGTTTTTGTGCCAATTTAGTCATTCCGGCCAATTTCGGCCGGATTATATTGACGTGGATGCCGGTCGGCCGGCCTGCGATTGATCACTGGCGTTGACGTAAAAAACTTTTAATAACATTTAAATATTTTTAAAATTTTATTTATTTATTTTCTTTTTTTTTTCCCTCCCCCCCTCATTCCGCCAGCTAGTTGCCAGACCAGCGACCGACCAGAGGCCAGAGGCCGGCGAGGCTCGCCCTCGCTATCGACGGTGAAGGCGAGCCTCGCCATGGCTAGGCGAGGTCATGCCTCGCCCAGACGCCGGCGAGGTCGACCTCTAGCCTCTGGCTGGTCGCGGAACCGGCAACCGGCTGGAGGAAGGAGGGAAAGAAAAAAAGAAGAAGAAAAGAATAAATAAATATTCAAAAAAATATTAAAATATTATTAAAAGTTGTCCACGTCAGTACCGGTGACCGACCGGCGTCCATGTCAGCAAAATCCAACCAAAATTGACCGGAAAGACTGAATTGGCATGAAGATAAAAAAGTTTGGGATTGAATTGACACCAATACAAAAGGTTTATGACCGAATTGGCACAAAAAAAAAGGTTTAGGATTAAATTAACACTAATGCAAAAAGTTTAGGATTGAATTGACACTAAAAAAAGATTTAGGATTAAATTGGCATCAATGCAATAAGCGTGTGTTTTTCATAATAGTCAATCACACTAATCTCCCCATCAGAAGTAAGAGCTTTTTGTATCCTTAAGGCAAGATTTTATTTGATGAGCGCTCTTAGGACACATAATAAGCTACGGTCAGAGTGTCGAGAATCTAGTTGACAAAATCGGATCCTACCTCAAAATCATCGAGAGCGTCTGGAGATCTGGACATCAAGATCAACTCGATCCCAGAAATCTCAAAAAGGGTACATAAGACAAACGTTATTTGAAGTCGACAAGTTATCCTTTTGATAGAATCGACACACTGAAGTTGACACTGAAGCAGTAGCTTATGCTGAATACACACGAGAGATTGATAAATCTGCAAGATAGGAAGAGTGGTTCCGTTTTTACAACTTTATCAACTAGAATAGGAATTCTTGAAGATCACTGCAGGTTATGCAGGGTCCTAGTTTAACAAATTAGGAAAGCTTTTCCAGGTTCAGATGGGAGGATGGCATCTAGATCGAGATTTTACCAACAGTCTGAAACTATAATAAGATGGATGATTCTACATATCAATGCTTTACTGCCTAGAGTAATGAAATAATGGAGTCATCAACATGAGATTAATAGTAAATACGGGAATTACCGTCAGCTCCTGAAAGTTACCGACACCTGATAATATTCGTGATTTCAACTGCCGGAATTTTCCGACCAAAAAAAAACCTGCCAGAATTTTAGGATTTTCTTCTTCATAGTAATATAGTTTTATATGTTCAATATTTCTCTGTCATGTAAGTTCTTTATCGCAGTATACACCTTTCTAATGTCTTGAGAATGTATAGTTGCTTTAACCAACAGAGCCAAGGTGCTGGTCGACCAAACCCTCAGTATATAGCAGGGTATCAACAGCTTACATGTATGAAAAATTGAGGAAACAATTGAGAGCATCATTCATTCACAAGCAAATGAAGATCACAATGAAACCATTATACATTGAAAATATTACTGACTTTGAACCAAATTACATACACCGAAAAGAGTCGATGCTATGAGAAACCTCGAGGAGTAGAAGTCATTCCAGATCGGCTATTCCAAAGTTAGAGAGAAGTATTTTCACTTGATCCACAAAGTTTGAGCCCGTGGCATACTCTGTCAGCATCCCGACAGCGAAACCAAACATCGCCCATCTGTTTAAACAAATTCACAACACCCATTTAAGAAACTAAAGTTTACAACCTAGTCAAGAGGCACTGTTTCTTTCGGATAAACAATAGCCAATTGCAGGGGCAAGGACTTAGACGAAATCTACGGGTAAAAAAGAACAAAATGCACTAACTGCTCTTTCTAAGATTGTGCGCAATAGATTGAACACCAGGGAAGCGGTGAAAATCATGGGAATTAGGAAAAGGCATTCCAAATTAAAATATGGATGACTATGGAAAAACAGAGAGAGGATATTTAACTTCCAGCAAGAACATATCCTGACAGAGGGACTAATGCCTACTTGTTCCAATAAGGTGATAAGACCAAGGCATGATATGTAAAGCTCAAACCAGTAGAAGTGTGTCATATAATTTTGGTCTATTCTTACACTCTGTTTGCACATGTAGCTTGAAGATGGGTACATTCAACAATTTCATGGGGATCTAAGGAATTCTCCTGATAAGACAAGACCGATTGTCACATCACAACTGAATTGTTTTAAGTGAAAAGGTTTCGGTGCATGTAGATAACATGATAATATGTTCCGACAGTGCAGACAACAACGAGCATGCCCTAGAAACGATATTTGACCTAGAACGATCTACTTGTCCCGACTCCGCACATTTTGAACAATGGAAATGAGCAGTACTAGTGAAGGAAAACTGTCCCTCATATCAAATAACTCTGCATAGTCAGGCTTATTATAATAGACCGTATAATTCTGCTGTTAAGTAACGTGCTCGTAAAGAACAACTAGAGCCCCGTGAACAATCATGACAGGGGCAAACCAGAACTGAATTGGGAGATTGAAGGCCTCGAAAACATTTTTTTCTTTCGGGATTGTCAAGAAGCCAAAGGACACATGATAATACTATTAAAGTGAGTGCAGAGCTGATTACTCCGAAAAAAGAGCAACTGCACTTACACGAAGGCAAGTACGATGACACAAGAATGAAGTATGCAACCTTTTGTACACTTGGATAAAGGAATCGTTGAAACAACGCATCAAAAGAAGGGGGATAAGAAAGGGGAATGTGAGGAACCTGACACGAGACCTTGTCAATCCAATAATATATTGAACAGAAACGCCACCATTGACAGCTTCTACTAATTGGTTGAGTTGGCCTCGCAACTACGGGCAAGCGCCATAGAAAGGATTGACTAACAAGAACTTTAGATGATTAAAACTGATAGAAAGCCAGATACTGAACCAAAAAGTTCGCGATGCATCCCAAGAAACGCCGACTCTTCAACTCTATATAATCCCAAAAGGAGACCAATCCAGCTACATGTGTCACTAGCAACAAACTACTCTAATGTCCTAAAGCTAATTCCTAGTAGCGCTCGAATCTGATTCTCGGTGCACAACAAGCACCATCCTCGGTATCACCTCTTGGTTTCGGATTACTCTAGAAGGAATTTGACACAAAGAAAAATTCCAGCTCGAAACCAACCAAGATTATATGTAAAAGGGAACTTATTTAACAAAAGAAAGGAAGGAAGTAAGCCCACCTTCCATTGGCGATTTCATTCTTGCCGATGAACCCAAAGAAAGGACCCTGATTGGACTCCTCGAGCTTCTTCTTCTTGAAATACTCCTGCAGCTCCTTGGCCTTCTGCCTCTGGAACTCCAACGTTATCGCGCCGCCGCCCTCGACCGCCGCGTCCGGCGCGGCGACGGGCGGCTTCGGCTGCTGGGGCGGCGGGGCGACCGCGGACGGCGGGGAGGAGGAGGGGGGCGGGGAGGGGGGCACGGGCCTGAGTGGGGGAGCGACGGGCCGCCTCAAGGGGCCCTCGGTCTGGGAGCACCGGATGGTGGCGACGCTGACGACGGTGGGGGGCCTCGGGGCGGCGGCGGAGAATCGGAAAGGGGCGGAGGAGGAAGGCGGGATTTTGAGGCACGGGGCGGAGGATGAAACACACATGACTGGTGGCTCTCTCCTTCTTGCTCCCTCCTGTGTAGTTATTGGATCTTCTTGGTTGGGATGGGGAGCTGTGGTGTTTCTTTCGGACATACATGATCAAGAACCAGTGACAGAGAGAGACACACACACACAGAGGTCGGATGCACGTGTGTGGACAAGACATGGCCAAGTTTCGTTTTTCGCGAGCTTCGACTTGCTCCGTCCTCCACTATTAATGGGGTTATTGCTATTTAATATTTTATAATATCAATCCAGTTTGAATTTCGTACCATACTCTAAAATTTTTTACTACCGTCGGATTCTCGGATTAGTGCCAAAAGACGAACCTGATCTGATCTGATCTGATCATTCGTTCTGTAGTTCATCCTGGGTCATTTGGACCAACGAGAAAATATATTTGCCTATATAACCATGCATGCATTTTGATCGCAGGTCACCCGTCTCTCCTGCGCAGGATTTTCAGCTAGAGTATGTGCGTCAGACCTATGATGCTCCATTAACTCCAGACAGCAAATTTCTCCTAGGTAATCGACCGTCCATGGAAGAAGCGAAGAATTTATGGAAGGTCGGACGGAACTTACAATAGTAACACATTAATTATGAATGGATGATGTGCAGCCACACACTACAATAAAGATTAATAAACCTGAAAAAGCAACACCCCGAAACGACAAAACTGGAAACCCCGTGCTGATCAGTTATAGACAAAAGCATTGGCGCAACAAGCGGAGGAGAGAGAATACAGGAGGCGGATTTCGCTGACCGGCGGGATCCTTCTAGGGGGACTCAAAATACCCTCTATTCAGGAGTTGGTCGGTCGGCCGTCTGCGATCAAGAAGCCACTCTTTTAGCCATGCTTACCCTGATCCTCGATAGCGTCGCTTTACAAGTTGATCCTGCCAATCTTAAGGCCAAACCACTACATGATGGAACAAGCACAGCTTCTCTCATTACCGTTGTCCAACTCATCATCCGATCCGCCAGTTTCGCTGCAATTGGTTCAAGATTTCATCTTAAGAATATTCCGAAAGGTAAAATGAGAAAAGGAAAATGAGATGCAGGACATAATAAATGAAGGACCACGCAAATCGACTACCAGTGACAACTGAAGAGACACATTCTAATTTATCACAAGATCTATATCCCAGTGTTGTCAGCAATATTCAGCTCCCTCCAATTAAATGTCAAAATAGCGAGCTTTTCCTACTCATTGATGACATCAAAAGTACAAAATTCAAGGGCCTAACAGTTCTTAGATAGTAAATTCTGTTGAGCGCATTCAAGACACTAAGTTACAAGGTTATCTAACTTGCTTGTGCATGACACATAAGTTAGAATGACACGGAACTGTTTAGTTTGGAACTGAAAACAAACTGTAATAATTTCTTTCACAACCCAAAACCAAAGCCGTTTTCTGTATGTATCTAATTCTCAATGCCAACAGTTGATGGTAAGTCAGCAGAAAATTTGGGCAAACATCAAGCCAATTTATTTTGGTAGATGAGGAGATTACTCACGATAAACACATGCACTAATGATAGCAGCTATCTATTCGCAGATGTTGCACAAGTCAGAGAAAAATTACTGAGTGCTTTTCAAACCAGTTCATTGGCCAAAGTTTCATCACTGAGACATCATATTTTAAGAGTTAACCGGCCCAAGAGCTCTGACAGGAGGTTCTCCAAGCAGGAAACAAGTTAAGTACAAAAACAAAGACAGTGGGTATCCTATTAGGAAGTTATGAAAGCCAGACTGAACAAGATAGGCGACTCGTACGATTGAACAAGTTAACAGTCTAAAGCGTGGCCCAAAATAGACAACCAAACTTGGGGGTCAAAAACCAGATCGAAACAGTGCTGACCCAATTGAACTGGTCCAATAGGGGTGGTTCAACCAGGTCAAAAAAGGGTTTGACAGGATCTGGTAGTGAAAAAAAGAAAACAAACCACCTATTGCTGGAGCTGGACGCATTGAGCCCACACCAGGCAACCACCCATTGTCCTCTTTACAATGATTGCCAAACAATATACATACATAAAGGACACAAATGTGAAATAAAGTTGGTGTTGGACAAGAGTTGAATATCAGATGCGAGGCTTTCTCTAGCGCAAAATATATTTTTTTAACTCGGCCAAAAATTTCTACGTAAAGCATAAAAAAAGGCTAATTAAATAAGTTCACTAAATGATTATGAGTCGCATAGAAGGATTAACACCTGAGGACATTTCCCAAGATTTTCTCATATGACATTTCCAAACTTACTCAAACAAATTTATAACAAACATGCACCCACAAAGCTACTGGCTTAGAAATGCAAGTACCTGGCAAAAGCGATGTCAGTCACATTCCAAACATAAAAAGGGGAAATGTGAGTTGAGTGGAAACATTCTTAAAAATAAAAGATCGAAACCTGCCATTAGGTCATAGTTGGTATCTACTAGAAGGAAAAGAAACAAAGAAATCGAAAACATGGACACTTGTATGTAGTTCTGCATGATCGCGCAAAAAGAAATGGCTATAGAAGAACTGTGTCACTTGAACTTCAGAACAAGTGTAGGGTGCAGGTACAGGAGAGTCTCAAGTGTCTGACTGGAAGAAATATTAGACTTGGAGACTTACTACAAGAATCAAAATATTGACATGTGTCTGGGGACACATCATCTGCTTTATCTTACACGCATCCTATATGTATCAAAAGTGTCATAGCACAAAATTCAATTAATATTCAACTGCAACTTAAATTTCCTACTTCCATTTCCCATTCAAATATACATTCTTTTCTTAAATTTCATATGTTAAGTATCAATTGGTTTACAAAATTGTACAAACACTGACCTTTTCAAGAAAGTAAGTAATTTACACCCTTTTCCTCTAATTTCAGCTAGCCCACCTTTTATTGCCTGGCAGGGCTAAAGGATTTGGGCCTTTGGGCACATTACGCTTATAAAAGAAAGAAAAACTAATATAGACAAAGGAGCTTTTCTTTTGGCCTAAATAAAAGGGCAGTAAGTTTTAGTCTATTCAATCCCTTTGTGCAAGCAAGCAAAGGGAGTATAAACGATGTAATAATAGGATAACCTTATCATCCATCCTTGATTTTCCATTCGAAGGTATTAAGATCGGTGGAATGTGACAGCCTGAAAGTAGCTCATTGTAGATTGTTGAACATGAATCACTTCTCCTTTTAATAAATGTTGTTTTTTTTTTTTCTGACTCATTGCTGTTATTAGATTAAAAAATCATAACTAAAAGGGAGAAGTGGTACGGATAGGCTCCAACTGACTTTTGGCTTCCTCTTGTTTATATTCATGAAGGGGTAGTTCTCTGCCCTACTAAGGCCACTTTGTCTAGACTTGGATTAGTGTAAATAGTTGCCTAAAAGATCTCCTCATGTCAGTAACTGCTGTTGGTGCAAAAAAGCCAAGAACATGATGATTGATGACTAAAGCATTTCCTATAATATACATGGGAGAATCCAATAAATAAAGATTGACCATACAAGACAGCTTGAGAAACTGCTTCCTCACCTTATGCCAAAATTTTTAAGGAGAATAAGGACAGCAATTCATTAAGTTATCACACAAAGGTAAACAACCCATTTCCCACTACATCTTTGATAAATAATTTTCATCAATCCAAGTTCATGTATTGGGATCATGTAATGATGAAATGCCTCCTAGCTTTCCTTGACAATTCCATTTACAATGAAAAGCAAACGAAGAAACAGATAAGCTGGTCTATTTATAGTAATTTTCTCAGTCACAAGTCATCACATGTCAGACATCTTATCCTTCCAAGCTCATGAGTTTGAAGACTTTTTTCCATAAAGACTTGCATTGCAACTTCTTCTCTACCAAAAATCCGCTATTCTCAAAATCAATAACATGTACAAAACTCTGCCTCACACACATTTATTCAAGGGATGAGTGCATTGGAAATCCTAAAACTTGTCATGACAGTGCAATTGAATCCTAAAACTTTTGAAAAGTGCAATTAAATCCTAAAATTTGTCACGAAAGTGCAATTGAGTCCCACAACCTTCAAAAAGTGCAATCAAGTCCTAACACTTGTCAAATTGATCCGATCAAGTCATTCCGTTGATTGCACCTTTTGAAAATTTTAGAACTCGATTGCACTTCCGCGACAAGTTTTAGAACTTGATTGTACTTTTTGAAAGTTTTAGGACTTTCGGTGCACTTATCCCTTTATTCAATGCTAAAACATGTTTAAGGGACAATAGACATTATACATATATCGAAAAGTTATAATCTCAAAGGTTGAAAGCAGAATCTATCGCAGCACTCTTCCACAATTAACAATTAGCATTAGCCATCAAGTGATTATTAAAGTAACGGACTTTATTCTATTATTCCAAAGTAACGAGTGCTTGATGTAGTGCAACAGTCAAACATATTCACTTAACCTGGCTCCACCAAGCACGACTACACTTCAAAGGATTCTTGCACACATAATAAAAAGATTATCTGAGCTCGGCAAACCTCATGCCATTCTTGTAGAGACAAACAAAACCACAATTCACATCGCATGAACTCTTTGGTTATCAGGACAATTAGCAGAGAATACTAGTAACCAGCGAATTGGAAAGCTTTCAAAAGCATAATATAGAATAAATTTACAGAATCGAGAGAGTAAAACGCGTTTAAGAAGTTGGTCTAGTACGAATGCAGAATGGTATACATGTACAAGAATTATGCATTAAGCGGATGAACGGGACTAGCAAGTCATCACCATACATATATGACAAAACAATTTAAGCTCCATACCTGGGTTCAAATTCCCTGATATCCACAAGCTCACTGCCACAAGCATCTGTCCATTGAACTCTTCGTCTTTCCACTAGACCGTGGGTATCTTTTCCATCTTCATTAACAGCCTGATTTTCATTAGTATTCCCAAATGGAACTGTGTTAGAAGCCGATGGCTTCTTCAAGCTACTACGTACAGCAACCTTTCGAGCATCATCATCTTCAACAACAGTTGACTGATCCTTGCTTTTATCAGGAACTAATGCATCTGGCACAATTTCCTGCTGTTGGGTTGGGCCTACTTTAAGTGGGGATGGTGTGTCAAGTCCTGCGGAGGCGCGACCAAAGCAAATAAAGGAAGCGCAACCGCGGGAAAGCCGGTTCTTTGTGGAAGCCAGCTGGATGTCGATGTCAGGTTCTTGGTCCACCAACTGGTAATG